CTGCGTGCTGCCCCTGGGCAGCCCCGAAACCCGAGCGTGGGGGCTGGGCTGCAGCTCGAAGCGCCGTGTTGGGGCTCAGGCGATGCGCGAATGTTTGTTTTTGCTGCGCACGGAAGGTACGAAAAATGCTCAGTGTAAGAGAAGTATTTGTCAACAGTGGAGTTTTTAACTTTGGGAAGAAGCTGGAGGTCATCTTGTTCTTCTGTGGGTAGACGTTAAGTAGAGAATGGTTTCCAGTTTCCATAGGGGAAGTTGGAACCGGGTTATGCTTTCCACCCCGACAGACCTTGAGACAAACTCTAGTAAAGGAAAAGATTCCATATGTTTTGGGTTTTTTTTAAGCTACTTAATATGCTACCTAAATGTACAGCAATACCTGCTCAGGAAAAAAATGCTGTTGCCTTTAGTGTAAAAGCTGCATCTGGCTGCATTGCACTGTCTTTTGGTAATTCTCACAGGATGAGTTAATTCATTTTTTCCCACTTCCACTTATTTTTCCAGAGAGACGTGAAGGATAAAATGTGATTTCAAGCAATATGCTATGGCACAAATATGTCTTGATAAAACTTTTTGATACTACTTATACAAAAATTGCTGTGGAGGTGCCTGGGAGTTTTTTATCCCTGACTTGAATTGTTTTTTGTGCATATTTGCTTTTCAAAGCCGTAAGGACACACACCATGGAATCGGGTAGTCTTTGGAAGTCAGGAGGGTGTTGCTTGGCTTACACGTTTACTTCAGTATAAAATAACGTCATCAGCCGAGCGGAGCGAGTGAAAACTGATGGAAGCACACACAAAAACAAGCTGTGTGTGATATTTGATAACTACAAAACCTGTTCTAGCAGATCAAGTTCAGGGAGACCTCACCAAGTACATAATCCTTCATTGTGATTCTCTTGCTCAAGGTCTTCTAGGTTTAGGTCTGTGGAGGCAAAAAAAGCTACTAATGTTTTGGTGTGTTGGCTCCACGTTCAGATTGTTGCTACAATTATTCCAGCTTTCTTAGCAGAAAATGAGAAATTATTCTAAATAGAGGAACAATACCTAATAAGAAGGAACTTCACTTCCAATACTAAGCTGTTAGTCATTCTGCGTACTTCCCTCTCTGTCCTAGCCTGTAGGGTTTGTCATTTTCCTAGACTTGTAGTTACTTTTTTTAAAAAAAAAAAAGAGAGGACTTGTCGAGTTTTAATTCAGAATACTGTCATATGACAAGTGCATGCATCTGTATCAAATATTAGATTTGTAATGATTATCTAATAATACACTGATAAACGTAAACCCCCTATGTTGTTAATGCTTGCAAAGCAATAATGGGGAAAAATCTAAATACTGTTTTTAATCTTGTTTGTGAACTTTGACTGGCAGAATCATTACGTGGTTCTGAATACTGTGTTTTTTCCATTGCAGCCAACAAATGCATACTCAAAGTCTTTATCGCTTCCAGTGATACACATAGTCAATTCTTGAAAAGTAATTGGCTTCTGTTTGGGACAAGTTCTTGCCCTGTTTCAGGCATATGTATTGTGACTTTATTCTGTGTGTAACTTTTCTTATTTATTTCAGAAATGAGGGTTCATTAACATCAACTTTAAGAACACTTCTATTCTTCACAGCGCTAATGATCACATTACCTGTTGGGCTGTATTTTTCATCAAAGGCTTATATATTTGAAGGTAATTCTGTTTCTGCCAATTAGTGTTACTATTACAAAAAAGAGGAAAAGCACAATTCTCTAATAGCATCTTTGTTCTCCTTCCTGTTTTGGATGTTGGTTTCCTTATGCAGACTAAAAGCCTTGTAATGTCTAATTAGAGCAGAAAATTATATAAATGGTCAATGCATCCTTCCCTGCATTGTGATCTGCAATCTGACATTTGCTGCTTGTAAAATATAGGTGCCTCATTCCTAAGGGGTGTCTAACATACCCTGCAGCAGACTTTTATCAGAATTGTCAGGGATATGTTTCCTGCAGGTGTTGCAAACTAATTGTGTGTTCAAGACAGAAAAATGTTGTTTACTGGGTTTATTTTTTTCTTTTTAAAGCAAATGCTTTTTTTACCTGCATTTGTCAGTATAAACCAGTTAAGTTGTAGATTCAGTTTCAGATATTGAATGTGGTTGCTCGTAGAGCTTTCTCTTGATTAAAAAAAAAAAAAAAAAAAAAAAATCTGTCAAACTGCTAACAGCCAGCCACATTCTAGTCTTGATTCTCCAAGACTTTAATAACTTCCTAATACTGCAGCAGAAAAGTATCTCCTTCAAAAGCAGGGAGGAGGAAGGGAGAAAGCAGCTGCTTCCAAGAGCAATGTAGTGAATATGTAACTGATTTGTTCCAAGATGATTCTGCTTTGGTGTGTACTGCTGTACGTAGTTCTGAAGGCTGAAGCTGAAAGCTTGTTAAGTAACTTTCAAGATCCTTTTTGGTGGTTTTGGGTGGTTTTTTTTTTGTTTTTCTTACCTGAGGTGTAGCAAGCCGAGCTTTGACTTTGCTGTGTCCATTAATGGAAAAACCTGTCATTAATGGAAAAATCCTGATAGGATTGGGTTTGTGTTTGGAGGATGGTGTTTTTGGTGTGGTGTAATGTGTGGGTTTTCTAAATGAATGAAGAGAAATTATGTGTTGGTATTTGAAGATTTATTTCATGATACGTTGGTATTTGGTGTTCTGATATTTGAAGACTTTATTTCATGTGAGATGCATTCATGTATCTTAACTGGTGAGGAATTATTGTTCTGCAGTCTAAATATAGAAGTCCTCTAAATTTAATTGTTGTTCTACTGTTTTATCCTGTTACAGTGGCAAATAAATTTTATAATTATCCCCACCCCTCCATTTTCCTGCCCCACAAAGACAGTTACACTTAGAAAAAAGGGATGTTGAGGTTTATTTGGAGCTGGAATATAGTAACAGAAAAAGTGAATGTAGAGCTCTAAGGTGTTGACTTCAAAACCAGGGTGTTTTATCTTTAATATTGAATAACTGCAGTGTTGCTTTATTCCAGAACTAGTTTCAAGGTCTGTAATTATCATAGCAAATTCTTTCCTATGAATCTTTCTGAGCTCAGTCTTTTGAAACAGGAGTAAATGTAACTTTGGTCTTTAGGAAAATTGTGGTTTGCCGTTTTGGTGTTTCTAATAACTAATATTCTTTATTTTCTCAGGTACCTTAGGAATGTCCGACAGAGACAGCTATTTTTATGCTGCCATAGTTGCTGTAGTTACTGTTCATGTAGTACTTGCTCTCTTTGTGTATGTAGCGTGGAATGAAGGTTCTCGACAGTGGCGGGAAGGCAAACAGGACTAGGATGAAGATCTTCATCATCTGATGCCTACAGACTGTAAATCAAATCTTTGTGAGCCAAATGAAAAGCGTTCTTCGAAATGTATAATACACATGTACAAAGGTGAGGCTAATGCCTCTACTGTGGTTGGAATAAGACTTGTGCTCATCTTGAATGTGTTCCAGTGTTTTCTCTACTGATAATGGAAGTTGTTCTTTAGCCAGACTGTGCTAGGTTGAGCTGAGCCGGTCTTCACCTGGAATTAAAATGGAATAACTATATATTTTTGAAAAAATTCTGTAGCTATTTTTGGCATTCCTAGTATTTTTCTGGCTTGTTCTGAACATAGTAGTGGCATGAAGCAAGCATTACCTTTTCAAGTAATTAAATTCCTAGTTAAAAAAGATACATTACTCACTATCCAACTACAGTGGAAAGGGTAGGATTTCCATTGGTGTGGATAGTTTCCCGATTTATGGGTGTCATGGTTTAACCCCAGCCAGCAACTAAGCCCTGCACAGCCACTCACTCGCTCACCCCCAGTGTAACGGGGGAGAGAAGCGGAAGGGTGAAAGTGAGAAAACTCATGGGTTGAGATAAAGACAATTTAATAGGGAAAGCAAAAGCTGTATACCCAAGCAAAGCAAACCAATGAATTCCTTGACTCCCTCCCATCTACAGCCAGGTGTTCAGCCATCTCCAGGAAAGCAGGGCTCCATCATGTGTAAGGTGACTTGGGAAGACAAACGCCATTGCTCTGAACGTCCCTCCCTTCCTTCTTCTTCCCCCAACTTTTATTGCTGAGCATGACATCGTATGGAGTGGAATATCCCTTTGCTTAGTCGGGATCAGCTGTCCGAGCTGTGTCCTCTCCCAACTCCTCGCGTACCCTCCGCCTCCTCGCTGGTGGGGTGGGGCGGGGCGAGAAGCAGAAAAGGCCTTGACTCTGTGTAAGCACTGCTCACCAATAACAAACACCCTGTGTTGTCAACACTGATTCCAGCACAAACCAAAACATAGTCTCATTCTAGCTACCATGAAGAAAATTAACTCTATCCCAGCCAAAACCAGCACAGTGGGACAGTCATAAATAATATATTTATGAGTTTAGAAGTAACTACAAAAATAGAATTGAGTAGGAACTCAGGTGTTGTCTTTCTAATGTGAAATACAAAGGTGTGGTGTTTTTCAAATGCAATTTTTTACTACAGTGTAAAATTCAATCTTTAATTCCTTTTGGAAGGTTTGTTGTATTGCTGCGTTGCTCGTCTTTCCACTCTTCTACAGTTAATCTTGATGATGCAAAGGAAATGTCGTAGCGTATTTTTTGGTATGTCTTTACATTTGTGCGTCTCCTTGATGGTTGCTAAATGATGTAGTTGGGTTTCCTGTGGTAAAGTAGTACCAGTAACAGCTGTAAGCCACTCTCATGGCTAGTGGAGGAGTGAGCAGGAGAAAACAAGCTGTAGCCATCTGCAAACGTTGTCCTCTATGAAGCAGAACACAAGAGTGATCACATGGAAAATTTTCTTCTCTTCGTAAATATTAACTGGTACATTGTGAAATTATACAATATGTTCATTGTTTTCTGTTTCTTGGTTGAGTACAGAAATTTTCTGTAGTCAAACCACAGTGAGATTTCTGTGTTGTAGGATATCCTGAATTTCATTTCACTGTTGTGCTGTTTTGTAACAAGCTGGTTAGTCTGTAGATAAAACATTTTTCCTAAGATTCCAGCAATGCACAGAACTTTCCTAACGCTGATGATTGCTGTTAAGCTGTTGTGCTTGAGGTCATTCTGTTAATTTGAGTTTTCCAGTTTGTTGTATTAGTTGAGCATTTTTTGGAAGCGTTCTGCTGAATAGAGGGCTTGGAATGGTTTTGGTGCTACGTTTGTCCACATAAAAAACTTACTGATAAATGAGACAAAACTCAGTTATCCACGCCCAGTGGCTTGAGGAGTGTGCTCCCAGGTTCCCAGGTCTCATTCCTCTTTACCCCAGTCCAGGTGTGTCCAAGCCTATACACCATGTCACACTAATGCAAGTCAATTTTTACATCTTGTTTCTGAACTGTTAACTTTTCTCATCCGAAAGCCCATTGCCAGGTTGCTGCCAGCAAACTGGAGGACAGTCTCATACGACTTGAAATACAAATTTAGTTTGTATGTTGGCTTCCTGTTCTCCAGCATCTGAACTGAACGTTGTAGAACAAATGCTGCCTTTTAATAAAGAGCTCCCCTGCAGTACAAGATCCAGCAAACAAGCACTTGTGCTCAACAGTTTTTGAGGAATCTTTTTAATACTGCTCAGCTTAAAACAAATAGATCAGCTGTAACACTGTTGAGTAGCTTTTGCTTTTATTTTTTTTTCCCTCCATTTATAGTGGAGAATAAATGGGAACATAGCTGTCGTGCTTTACTAGTTGGGTCTTGTGCTACATCTGGTTTGTTTCACATACCAGGATCCCTAGACAGCAAGTTAATTTCCGAGAACTAATAGGAAAGAATTGCTTGTTATAATTGTTTACTTAGAAAAATCTGGAAAGTTTGACCTGTGCTGTAAGTATAGGCACTATAGTGTCTTAGCATCTGGGGGTAACGAGCTGAGCATCAGTCCATCCGTTGGAAGATCTTTGAAGATAATGCTTTGATCCACAGCGTTCTCCCTGAGAAAAAAGGTTACGCATGAGTCTCCGCATAGTAACAGCCATGTGGTGGATTTTAGGTTGTCTGTGCTTGGAAATGGAAACAATTCCTCAGGTAAGTGGTGCAATGAAAACAGTCAATGGTGGAATGGCACCGTGATTAGGGAGCTGAAGGAACAGAAACTGCAGCCATACAAGGTAGAGTGTACGGAGCAGATGCCCTGCTGGGACCGTGGTGGTGCCTCACCAGTACTAAGATTTAATGTATTTCCAGAGCTTTGTTGTGTTCTCTTGAGTGTTTCCTTTTGTGTATCTGATGTTCCTGTTGATGCCAAAGCTAATTCTCGTGGCAATTTTTAATTGTTTAATGGCTATTGTGATTCTTTGAGAGTTTAAATAATACAGTACAAATATGAAAACAGATGAAAGTTGTGGAGTGATCAATATTCTTTTTTTTTTCTATAAAATGGTGGTGTGTTTTGAAGTGGTAGTGTAAGTTTGTTGATTTTTTTTTTTTTTTTTCTTACTAGGAATGGATTTGAGACAACTTCTTAAAAAGACAGATTGGGAAAACTTGGTCTGTGTAAGTGATTCAGTACTTCAGAATGGCCCGTCGCTTAGTGGTCCGTTGTGTGTTTGTATAGGTTGACAATGAGGCAGTTCAGCTAAAGCAAGCAATTGTATCTGGCAGTGAGCAAGTGTCTTGAGACTGAGATTGTAGCAGAAATTTTGTGGAATGTTTTTACCATAAATAGTGGGGGGGAGGCAATGGGGAGAATTGAGAAGTGGAAAAATCAGTGACTTCTCAAAGTTAGTTTAGTTTTCTTCTTCTGTACTTCTTATCTTCGCTGTTTTTTTAAATGCCTGTGGAGCATCGTGGTGGGTACCCAGCCTGTGGAAGGTATGCGGTGAGGAGCTTTGGTTTGTGTTTAGGGATACCTGACTTAACAGGTAGCACTGAGTAGAAAGTCTCCAGAGAAAATGGTGATGTTGGTGATCACTTTGTTAACAGGAATTGTTTGTCGTGCCCTAACATTGATTAACGTATATTTAATTATGTAAATATAATATGTAAATATTATATTTACAGTATATTTGAAACAAAAGGCTACCTGTCCTTTGCTGTGTCAGAGAAGGCCTAATCTTAACTCTCACTTAACATTAAAAAACAAACAAAAAACCCCTCCCAAAACCTCATCCTCATTTTTACAGCGGGGCTTGTTGGGCATTATCAAACTGATGGGATGTTAAGGGATGTTATTTTGCCAAGCTGCTAATGCAGCGTGACAAACTAGATGGCAGGCTTTTCTACCTGATTCATCTGGCAGGGGAAGGGAAGTTGTGCTGGCTGAAAAATTACATTCTCAGTGCATTGGTGAACAGTAGAATGTTTGATGTTACTGCAGTTGTGATGGGTTTTAGATTTCTGCATGGTTATTGTAGCTAAATAAACTGTGCTTAGGCTTCTGAGAGCCTGTGCAATTGGAGGGAGTGTGCTCAGAGCCTGCAGAGAAGGGTGGTGTTGGTGATAGTTCAGATGAGTGAGAGATGGGAAAGGAGAGGGGCCCTTAAAATAGCGAACTAAGCCACACGTGTTACTACAAAATAACGTAATATGGGTATGACTGAAACTTCAGTAGGCTGCAGCCCATGGGACAAGGGGAGAAAGGTCCTGTGGAGCAAAGGAGTCGCTTGGGGAGGTGGGGAAGGGTGAGGACTGGAATGTGCTGGCACAGCTTGCTATGTGATGGCTGAGGCACCATATGGTTTTGTTCAGAAGGGTTTATTCCACTGTTCTCCAGGGGACTGTGCAGAGCCATTGATCTGAAATGTAAATCATATGAATAAGCCAGTTCAATTTTTAACTTCCAATTAAAGTTGTTCATAAGTTGACAGCTTTGCCGTGTGTGATCTGGGACACATTCATGCAGCTGTCTTGTACAAACTAGCATTGTTTCTGGCTCTGAGTCGTCTCTTAGGGCAGAGTCAAGCCCTTGGAGTGTAAATAGGTCTTTAAAATACTGAAGAGCAACTGCCACTCTTAATGTTTTATTAGCTGTAATCAACTGTCAGTTTAAGGGAGATGCACAAGCTGCTTCTGTCAAGTTCTCAGGACACGGTGCTTGCAGTTTCTCTGCAAGGAGAGCCTCTCTTGTGCTTGGAAGGGGCTTGCAACAAGGAAATGCTGTGTAGTTTGGGTCTCACGGTCATTCTCTTATCTGAAGACGTGCTAATGTCTAAATTTCTGAGATGGGAAACAGCTTGAGTGTCTTTGTTAGGAGGACCGAATCACAGTGTTGTGTAACAATGCTGAGGTGTAGTTTAAGACAAGAGACAGAGGGAAACTCTTTGAACCTGAAATAGTAAGAAAAAGTATAGGGGAAGTGAAGGGGGATTTCTGTAGAAAGCAGCTTTTTTAGGTCCTGGTCTCTCAGTTTGCATTCTGAAACCAAGAGATAGAACCAACGGTGGTTCTGTTTCTGAAGGTAGGGATACCGACCAGGAAGCTCTGTGGGGAAGGATGACCAGGGAGAAGAGCTTGGAAAGTCGAGTAGTTCACTTGGTGACTGTTGAGCTGAATGCCTGGAACTGGATTTTCTCGATGCTGGTTTGCTGTCACGTTTCACAACCCTCTTTGTCCTACCAGCTTTGGATGGCATGTTCTTGCTGAGATGATTCCATGTGGGTGCCTGGTGT